TTCTTTCTTTGCGTGAACATTTGGGCGGTGTTATGCAAATCTTCCCACATCGTGACGTAGACATGTGGGGGCGTGTTAGAACGAGCCGTTTTAGGTAGGCGTGGTTGACTCTTAACTTTTATAAAGAATATCTCTTTGGATTTGAGACTTTAGTCTTTGCAACTTTACAGATCTTCTTTATGCACCAAGAGCTTGTAACACTCCAAAGAGAAAGGAAAAATTGAAATCACATCATATGACCCCTTTAATAGGGTCATTTCAATAGGAACCCATGCGAATGGGAATTTCATGTGAGGGCGAAAGATTCAAATTGGTCACGCAACAGAAAACGGTTTAGGTTGAAAGTGACTTTTGTTTGAGCTATGCTTTACTATACTATTGCTAATATACAATGGATTATTTTTGCCTGCGAAACTTCGATAATGTGATGATTTTCACTATATTTCAGTTTAAAAGTACTTCCTATTTGTTGATCTGTTGTATAAGCAATATCACTCTCTTAATCATGCTGTTGTGTTCAAAACGACAACATTCTATGTGTGACATTGCATAAGATAAGCACATACAATACCACATTGATTATAAACTGTCTAGCCAGTGCAAACAACTCAAACCAGTTTGATCTGAACAGCTGGAACAGCCCCATCACTCGCCAATGAGATCTTCATCCAGTCATACCGCCCAGCTGCATTTGTGATTATCGGTTTCCTGCACTTGCTGGGATTCACCATTTTTGGATTCATCTTCCCATTCCTTATAGTAAGTCCATCGCCATGCCAATAACACAAAAAAAAAATAAAGCAATGTTTGTGGATTCAGCCACTTTATATGATGTAATGACATTAAAATATATAGTGCATGTGTGCTCCACAAATGGAGCATTAGTAAATGTCATTGCTATTAGATGTTTCATTACTGGTTTATGTAAGAAGCTTTTGCCAGCATATAAAGCCACTGATTATGACTGTATTGTGAATCTCTCAAAGTTTCTCTTCTCTTTATTTTATACCGTCATAAAAGACCAACGAAAATACAGAATTGTTCTTTTATGTATCATGCCCTATTACATGTCTTCTTCTTGAACAATGTGTAATACCAGGCTTTCAGCACACCATTTCTCTGCTCCTATGAAAACTCCTCTGCAGTCTGTTGTCTCACTTTAACAAAAGGCCACGTTTCTCATCCATGTTTCTCCAGGCTGTCCTGAAGTCTCTGAGCTTTGTTCTCTTCTCCTGCGTTTGTCTGATAGCTGCTCTCTACGTCTTCTTCAACCTTCCTGAAACAAAAGGCAAAACTCTCCTTGAGATTTCCCAAGAGTTCGAGAAAACATCAGAGTATGTGGATACTCCACAGAAGATGTCATGTGCTTAGATACCAAGCTGTAAAGTTCAAGATAAATTATAAATGCTTGTCTTGGTATATTGATGTAAATATGGACTAGATGTGGACTGGCACAAGAAATAATAAATGATCATCATATTTATCAACATTATATTTATAAAGACAGACTGCTCTCAGTTGGATGGATGGTCTTGGGTTTATTTAGCAATAATGGCCACATGACAGTACATGATCCTTCTTAATATAACAATCAATAAATAAGTAAATGTACTATTAAATCAAATATTAAATCAAGTTATTTGGTGAGAAGAAAAAGACTGCATTAAAACAGCTGTGGAGAAAACTGGAAGCCATAACGGTCAATATATTTTTAATGAGCAGAGAGCTGTTTAACAAAAGACATTATAATTGACTAGTTTTTTATTGGATGAAAAAATGTGAAATAAGAAACTTATTCTGTTATTTGATCTGCATGTTCTGTTATTTAAGAAATGTGTCCCAGGTTAAAGAAAAACAAATCTTTTTTTGCTTCATTTATTTTCACTACCACTCAGAATACCTTATAAAACTTAAGGAGCTTTTTATTCTTGTTTCTTTTCTTTCTTTCTCAATGACTGAACAATGTCTAACTACATTACATATTGTCTGAAGTAACCCATGCTTATTCCTTACATGGCCTGCTAGTTGTTCTTTAACCAGCTAAAGGCTGGAAATCACTACATTACTTTTTTGTACAGATTTTTGCACTAATTTACAGTCTGGATGAGTCCAGACTGGTTGCCCAAAGTCAAAGCCAGTCCGCAGATTTGATTTGACAGATTTTAAACAAAATTGTGTAGTGTATAATGAACACAGACTTGTTTTTCCAGATTTTTCATGTTTTTATTAAAACATGTTTGATATTTTGAGCCATTTTTTGAACACCTACTGTTTTCATTTGTCATGCGTCTCCTAGCTATGAGGCATGTGTTTCTGCGTGAGTTTGTTGTTTTCAGAATCACCTGAAATACCTGAATCAGAATCACCTAAATCACCTGGTAGTGTGTGATCCTCGGTTGTTTAGTATTTGATGCCCCATGCATTTTTCTCAGTAAAAAGTCGGCAAGTGTATGATGCTTATAGTGTTTTGAAATCTGTTCAGAATAAAAAGCATGTAGTCTATTCCAGACCTAAGCAAACATTATGTCATTGTAATCTCTGCATGATTGCCCTCATTTCATTTCTATCATAGTGCAGATAGCTGAACTATTAAGTGAGGTTGACCCTACTGAATCATGCAGCCCACCCATGTTATTGCGCAGGGCCTTTGGGTTTGTAGAACCCTGTGAAGGTTCCGCTCAGGGACTTTCTGTCTTATCAGTCCTTGACAGGCTGTACTGGACTTCCCAGCCTCATTAGCAGTTTAATAGGTACTATGTGAACTTCACAGACCAATAATGACTGACATAACTATATGCTTTATCACCGCCTCAGCTGTTTCACAGGATTAATTAGAGGATTAATTGAACTGACTAGCAATGATTATGGATATCCCAAAACACCCAAAGTATATTGTATCGGAACAACATTATGTGCACAACATGCTCCCTAATGGAAATGACCCAGTTTTAGTTAGAAACTAGGAGATTCAAATATTCTATAGGCACAGGCTTGAACAGAACCTCATTGGCCCAAAGCCAATTATTTTGACAACATTTAGTAAACTACATGTGCATACATGTGTTGCTAGCAGCAAAGCTAATCATGGATATTAGGAATAATATCACATGTATGTATGATATATTTTTGTGTTTCTTTAGCATTTGTTTAATAGTTTTATAAATGAATAAATTAAATTAAAAAACTGATTTGTTTATTTCACTCATTATTTAAATCATCAGTTTAAAACATGTAATATTATCATTTTTATATTTGTTTATGTTTGTTTTTATATTCTCATATTTTAAGATTGAATACTGGATCTAGAGTAAAACAATACAATACACAGGGGCATTTAAAAATAGCAAAAATAAATGGTTAATTTATACGTTTCTAAGACGTTTTATGTGACCTACATATGACAAAAACAAAAGTTGAAATCTGTTAGTTTTAATAAAAATAAATTCTGTGACATAAAGTTGAAGAACCACCCCTATATGTACATAAATAATAAATAATTTCAATTTCAATTATGGGACAATACATTGAACCGCCAATGGGTGGCGCTGTTTATTCACTGCAGAGTTACAGTAAAGCTGCAGACTGCAGTGTGATTATTAGCTTTTAATAAACAAAGAGTCAAAGAGTGCAGATGTATTATTAAATTCGTACATGATACATGAGAATGTTACACTGGAAGCATGTTTCCAACTATGCTTTTACTTATTTTGCAACTTCTTTTATGAGAATGTTATATAGTTGTCAGTAATGTTTCCTTTAAATGTATGAGTGAAACTGATTATTTTACATTCTGATTCTTTTCTGACATACCTATATTGTGACTTTTACACTACAATTTACAAAAATGTAGTCTCCCGTTATTTGAAGTGGGACTCATTTTTG